TCATCAAAATTATACTTAAGAGTTGACTTTTTAGATAGGAAATTTAAGTTGTAAATGATACGTAAAATATTTGAACAAATCTTCATTTTCCTCGTCAGTATTATTCTTATTATTATTATAATTCAATATTATTATTATAATTAGAACTTTTTTCAATTTAAATTTGGAATTATTGTACGAATAACATTTTTTAATCTGTCTTGTACAGAAACTTAAATTGATAAAAATGAATCTTATTCTCATGATTTCATACAAGACATTACTTTACCCCTTACGCGATTAGAGTACACGAATGATTGGCTACCAGTTGGTCGGGGTGATCCTTTAAAAGATCCAACCTATGATTATGTTCCACCTCTTCTTGATAAAGTGAAATATTGGGGGGCAGGTTTGTCAGATAAAAGCGATGTTTTACTACTCGGTGTGCCATCGAAGAAAAAGTCATCATTTAGACAACCTGATAAATATACAAACGCCCCAATTAGACGTGGTTTTTATCCAGAACCATATCAACATAATAACTTTTCATCGCCATACCATCAACACTCAGTAAGTCTAGAAATAATTTTCGTTAATTAAGCGAAAATAATTAAGAAAAAAAATTATTTGTTCGTCTTTCACGAATCATTGAAGATCCCTCAATGGATGAAATTTCCACCAACAAAATTCCCTTCACGATTAACAGGAAGTTATCAATTTCATCAACCACTTTATCATGAGTGGAAATATCAAAATAGTCACGTAAGATTATCAAAACCTAATCCGAGCATAACACGCACTATGTATCCAATGAAACCATTTTCATTAACAACTCCCTCGAATATGAAGTTACAAGGTATTTAATCATACTTCTATAAATTATTTATGTTATACTAAAAAGAACTTTAATCATAATCCTTAAATAGAAACGACATTAAGAACTACTCTGTCATCAACATCATTATCAATGCAACCACCACAATATTATAATGATCCCAACAAATATCCAACAGTTGATATTAATGAATTAGCAGATAGATTGGAGAACAAATCGAAAGATAAAGTTAAGCATTTGTTGAAATCAATGTTACAAGCGGAAGCTGTGACGCCATTTACAAAGAAGCCATCATCTAAATACCAAATTCCTGAAAATGCTGAGTACAATTCGAGTAAGGAACCACTTATATACGCTCCCCAAGATATCAACTCATTGGCAACAACTCCCAAATTTTCATCAACTTTCCTTCCGACAATACCACCAATCCAAACACCAAAACATCAACCAATTGTTAAGAACAAACCTCCGACATCATTCTTCATGAAATCAACTTCACCACCCACTTTAACTACAGCACAAATAAAGAAATATGCTCCGCCAAATATGAACATGCCTTGGATTGGACCTAATTTAATTATTGAAGGCCATTCTAAAGTTAAAACTTACAGCGTAAAGAATGAAGATGGGATGATTAATAATTTAGCCATGATAAGACCGGTACAAGTCAATGAAAATGCTGTCGTTGAACGTGAAAAACGTGATACCAGAAGTGCCATTAACATCTTATGAGTCGAGTTTTTTAACACTTCAACGAACTCTTAGAATATCTTTTAATTTAACGAAGTATAAATATTTATTCTTAAAGAAATTATCATCTGGTTGTAATGATGTAGATAATTATTTATAAATTATATCTCATTAATATTTCTTAAGTAAACTTGTCACTAAACATATTTGAACAATTCATAACATAGATAAAAAAAACTTTTTTAAACTTTCATACTCATTAAGTATCAATTATAATCAATTAGAATACGATACTATGAAGTACTGTAACTTCATTACTTCAGGAAAAACAGGTCAATCTTAAAACAAATGCAAAATAAATTTATATTTATTAATTTTTTTTAATTTTTAATCTTTTTGTAAATATGCATCCAAATGTGAAATTACCAAATCATATTTAACTCTTATCTACAGTAGCTTATTATAAAGTATGAATAAAATTACTCACACTTATTTACTGAAGTTTTACATGAATTGGGTATCAATAACGACACTTACGAATCCAACACTGAGAATTCAGTTTCTCAATCAGTTTACGATTGATCGCCGGGTTTTAAAGTTGTGGAAGAGAAAGAAAATATTTTTTCCCTTTGTAAGTTGTTATCTTTATTTGAATGCGAAACGAAATACGGTTTTCAGACTATTTAGAAATATTCTTCTCAGATGATATACAGATGAATAAAATCTGAGAAGAATATTTCTAAATAGTCTGAAAACCGTATTTCGTTTCGCATTCATATAAATAACATCAGACGTATCAGTTATCTTTATTGTTTAAAGTCTATCAGATAAATTGCAAGTTTTGGTAGTATGACTATCATATCGACATTGAATTCTAACAATAACGATAACCATAAAATTTCTTCTTTCGTTCCCTTCAAGTTTGAACACATATAAAACTGAAAATAGCCAGACTTGCAGAGCTTCTAAATACATTGAATATTTTTCTTGATTTTTTATGTCATTTTTTTAGAAATATTTCTTGCGATATTTTGAACACTTAAAAGTGTTTGTTGAATAAAAAAAATAAGTTAATTTCCCAGAAAAATGGCAAATTCTTTATACATTAAGAATGCTCGTGTTGTGAACTATGATTCGACTCTCGACAATGCTGTCATTCTAATCGAGAATGGAAAAATAAAATCAATTGGAAAAGAATCAGAATTAGAAGTTCCCCAAAATGTTCAAGTGATTGACGCAGCTGGCAGATACGTTTTGCCGGGGGGAATCGATCCTCATACACATTTCGAAATGGACTTTGATGGAACAGTCACTGTTGACGATTTTTATCATGGAACACGAGCAGCCGTAGCTGGTGGTACGACAACAATAATTGACTTTATTATACCAAAAAAGGGCGAGTCTTTATTGAATGCTTATGACGATTGGCGACGGAGAGCAAATGTAAAGGCTGTATGTGACTTTGGTTTTCATTGTGCAATTTCTTGGTGGAGTCCTTCAGTTAGTGAAGAGATGGCAATTCTGTGCAAGGAAAAAGGGATCAGTTCTTTTAAAATGTATATGGCTTATAAAGGTTTCTTGATGTTGAATGACTTTGAACTTTTCGAAGCATTCGAACGTATTCGTGATCTCGGAGCTTTGGCACAAGTTCATGCTGAAAACGGAGACATCATTGCAAAGAACACAGAGAAACTTCTTAAAATAGGACTCACGGGACCTGAAGGTCATCAATTATCCAGAACAGAAGATGTTGAAGCAGAAGCAACGAATCGAGCATGTACCATCGCAAATCAAACTAAATGTAATTAAGTTTATTTGATAACTTTTATCCAATGTTTATTTTAAATATTTTTGATTTTAGGTCCCCTTTATGTTGTGCACGTTATGTCCATATCGGCAGCTGAAGAAATTTCACGTGCAAGGAAACAATTTGGAGAAAATTTAATTTATGGAGAGACATTAGCTGCGGCATTGGGAACTGATGGTAATGAGTATCATGATAAATGTTGGCACCATGCAGCTGCCCATGTCTTGTCACCACCTTTAAGACCTCGTCAGGGAACAAAGGAAACTCTAATGGAAATGTTGGCAAGGTGAATATTTTTGCACAGATTGAAGTTTAGAGTAATAATAACTGAAGGAAGAAAATATTTTACGTTGCAGCAACGTACTTCAATCAACAGGATCTGATAATTGTACATTTAACAAAGAGCAGAAAGAATTGGGATTAAAAGATTTCTCTAAAATTCCAAATGGAGTCAATGGAGTTGAAGATCGAATGAGTGTTGTTTGGGAAAAAGGTGTTCATGCTGGTAAAATTGACCCACAGAAGTTTGTTGCTGTCACATCGTGAGTTTATTTATTTTAGTATTAAATTATGAAATTTTTATTTGTCATTATTTTTTTAAAGAACAAATGCTGCAAAGCTTTTCAATGTCTATCCCAGAAAAGGCGCTATTGCTGTTGGTTCCGATGCTGACATTGTATGATCACTTGATTAATATACTTAAAATAGGTCACGTAATAATCATCATCAAAATTTCAGGTGATCTGGAATCACGAAGCAACTCGAACAATCTCAGCTAAGACTCATCATCACGCTTGTGATTTTAATATCTTTGAAGGAATGACTTGTCATGGAGTTCCTGAGATGGTCATTGTGAATGGAAAGATTTGTGTTGATAAGAATAAAGTTGAAGTAACTGCGGGATCAGGAAGATTCTTACCAAGGCCACCATTCAATACTTACATTTATTAATAGTCATATATGATGACTCAAACATTTTGAAAAAGTTTAATATAAAATCATTGACTTTTGTCGATTTCTCACAATATTTTATGACACATTTGGTTAATAAAAATTTTATCTGTTAAACTAAAACATTTTTCATCGCAAGAAATTTTGATGGCATAAACCTCTACAAATCATTCTTGAAACAGAAGAAAGTGAGTGAAAAAATTTTGAGAATGCTGTTGTTCTTGAAAATCTATTAATACCGGAAGATTTGAGTAAAAGGCTTTGCACTATATTAAATATAGTATACCGACTTTCGGCAACCAACTTTTTTTCTAAGCTATGATTTTTTTAAACACCAATTATTTTAAACAACTGTTAAGAACAATCCTTCGACATCATTCTTCATGAAATCAACTTCACCACCCACAAATTAAGAAATATGCTCGCTCCACCAAACATGAACATGCCTTGGATTGGACATAATTTGATTATTGAAGGCCATTCTAAAGTTAAAACTTACAGCGTAAAGAATGAAGATGGGATGATTAATAATTTAGCCATGATAAGACCGGTACAAATCAATAAAAATGCTATCGTTGAACGTGAAAAACGTGATACCAGAAGTGCCAATAACATCTTATGAGTTGAGTCGTTTAACAGTTCAACTTATTCTTAAAAAAATTATCATCTGGTTGTAGACAATTATTTATAAATTATATCACATTAATATTTCTTAAGTAAACTTGTCATTAAACATATTTGAACAATTCATAACATAAATAAAAAAAACTTTTTTAAACTTTCATACTCATTAAGTATCAATTAAAATCAATTAGAATCGGTACTATGAAGTTTAAATTGTAACTTAATTACTTCAGGAAAAACAGGTCAATTTTAGAACAAATGGGAAAAAGAATTATATTTATTAAAATTTTTGATCTTTTCGTAAATATGCATCCAAATGTGAACTTACCAAATAAGAAAAATCATATTTAACTCGTATCTACATATCTTAGTAAATAAAGTATTAGTAAAATTGCTTACACTTACAAACTGAAGTTTTACATGCATGGTTTGGGTATCAATGATACTTACGATGGCTTGTAGTCTCTGTTCACACAATTTGTTTTGAAAAATCCAGTTTCTCAATCAGTTTACGATTGATCGTCGGGTTTTAAAGTTGTGGGAGAGTAAGAAAAAAGTTCTTTGTCAATTGTTGTTATCTTTATTGTTTGAAGGAATCTATCAGATAAATTACAAGGTTTGGTGGCATAACATATCAATTTACATCAAATTCAACATACTGACAAGTTTCAATATTTTCATTTGTTTATAACGATAACCATAAAGAAAGTTTTCTTCTTTCGTTTTCTTCAAGTTTAAACACATATAAAACTATAAATAGCCAGACTTACAGCGTTTCTAAATACATTGGATATCTTTCTTGATTTCATTTTGTGTCATTTTTTCTTTAGAAATATTTCTTGCTATATTTTCAATACTTTTTAGTGAGTTTGTTGAAAATAAAAAATAATTTAATTTCCCAGAAAAATGGTAAATTCTTTATACATTAAGAATGCTCGTGTTGTGAACTATGATTCAACTCTTGACAATGCTGTCATTCTAATCGAGAATGGAACAATAAAATCAATTGGAAAAGAATCAGAATTAGAAGTTCCCCAAAATGTTCAAGTGATTGACGCAGCTGGCAGATACGTTTTGCCGGGGGGAATCGATCCTCATACACATTTCGAAATGGACTTTGATGGAACAGTCACTGTTGACGATTTTTATCATGGAACACGAGCAGCCGTAGCTGGTGGTACGACAACAATAATTGACTTTATTATACCAAAAAAGGGCGAGTCTTTATTGAAAGCTTATGACGATTGGCGCCGCAAAGCAGATCCCAAAGCTGTTTGTGACTTTGGTTTTCATTGTGCAATCACTTGGTGGAGTCCTTCAGTAAGTGAAGAGATGGCAATTCTATGCAAGGAAAAAGGGATCAGTTCCTTTAAAATGTTCATGGCTTATAAAGGTCTTTTCATGTTGAATGACTTTGAACTTTTTGAAACGTTCGAACGTATCCGCGATCTCGGAGCTTTGGCACAAGTTCATGCTGAAAACGGAGACATCATTGCAAAGAACACAGAGAAACTTCTTAAAATGGGACTCACGGGACCTGAAGGTCATCAATTATCCAGAACAGAAGATGTTGAAGCAGAAGCAACGAATCGAGCATGTACCATCGCAAATCAAACTAAATGTAATTAAGTTTATTTGATAACTTTTATCCAATGTTTATTTTAAATATTTTTGATTTTAGGTCCCCTTTATGTTGTGCACGTTATGTCCATATCGGCAGCTGAAGAAATTTCACGTGCAAGGAAACAATTTGGAGAAAATTTAATTTATGGAGAGACATTAGCTGCGGCATTGGGAACTGATGGTAATGAGTATCATGATAAATGTTGGCACCATGCAGCTGCCCATGTCTTGTCACCACCTTTAAGACCTCGTCAGGGAACAAAGGAAACTCTAATGGAAATGTTGGCAAGGTGAATATTTTTGCACAGATTGAAGTTTAGAGTAATAATAACTGAAGGAAGAAAATATTTTACGTTGCAGCAACGTACTTCAATCAACAGGATCTGATAATTGTACATTTAACAAAGAGCAGAAAGAATTGGGATTAAAAGATTTCTCTAAAATTCCAAATGGAGTCAATGGAGTTGAAGATCGAATGAGTGTTGTTTGGGAAAAAGGTGTTCATGCTGGTAAAATTGACCCACAGAAGTTCGTTGCTGTCACATCGTGAGTTCATTAAATTTGCCATTAAATTATGAAATTTTTATTTGTCATTATTTTTTTAAAGAACAAATGCTGCAAAGCTTTTCAATCTCTATCCCAGAAAAGGCGCTATTGCTGTTGGTTCCGATGCTGACATTGTATGATCACTTGATTAATATACTTAAAATAGGTCACGTAATAATCATCATCAAAATTTCAGGTGATCTGGAATCACGAAGCAACTCGAACAATCTCAGCTAAGACTCATCATCACGCTTGTGATTTTAATATCTTTGAAGGAATGACTTGTCATGGAGTTCCTGAGATGGTCATTGTGAATGGAAAGATTTGTGTTGATAAGAATAAAGTTGAAGTAACTGCGGGATCAGGAAGATTCTTACCAAGGCCACCATTCAATACTTACATTTATTAATAGTCATATATGATGACTCAAACATTTTGAAAAAGTTTAATATAAAATCATTGACTTTTGTCGATTTCTCACAATATTTTATGACACATTTGGTTTATAGAAATCTTATCTATTAAATTAAAACATTGATAAGATAATTCTCATTTGATAAATGCATTAAAAGTTTTAATCAATTTTATTCAACTTAGTCGTATTTTTGTTTGGAAATTGTAAACACCTAAAAAGTTATTCATAGTTTTCTTTTAATTAAAGAAGATGTCAACGATTCCAATTTTCAACCCACAATCACCATATCTCGGACTTATTCCAGGAGGTCTCAGAGTTGGCTCTACTTTGAGGATTCAAGCGAGCATTCAAGGTTTCGCTAATCGGTAAGAATTTTCAGATATTTTTCGCTAAATATATACAATGAAATATAAACCCCGTCGACTGTCCCAAATAGACTTTCATAGATTATAAAAAGTTCTTTATTTGAAAAGAAATATTAAATATTTAATAGATTTCATCTTTAGAAACCGGTAAAACTCGAACACTTTAAGTTTTCCATTTCGGTAATCTTGTGAGAATGACAACAAGTTGAATTTTTTATCGCAAAAAAATAAGATCATGACGTCATAAATTACAGAAAAAAGTGAATCACTAATTTATTTTACAGTTGTCAAATATACCTGCAAAGTGGTGCAGCTTTGAGACCAAGAGATGATGTAATGTTTCATCTCAGTATAAGACCACAAGAAAGAGCCATCGTCAGAAACCATATGCAAAATCAAGTATGGGGAAGTGAAGAAAGATATGGAAATACTACAATAGAACCATATCAATCGTTTGAGATTTCGATAACTGCTGAGTCTTCGAATTATAGAGTGAATGTGAATAATTCGTATTTGTGCACTTTTCCGTATCGTTTGCCGGTTAATTTGGTTCGATACATATCGATTGACGGTACGTGTACTATCACATCAATACAAGTTGATTCCTTTGGAGGAGCTACTGCTTATCCACCAGTTCATAGTCATCCACCAGTTCATAGCCATCCACCAGCTCATAGCCATCCACCAATTCATCACCATCCACCAGCACCTCCACCAATGCCACCAGTTGCACCTCCACCTTATCCAGGTAAGTGTTGAAGCAGTTTCCTATCTTCAACTTATTTTAATTTTCAATATTTTTTAAGGAATTTATCCTGGTCATCATCATCCGACACCCTACACGGTATTTAAACATGAATTAATGGAGAAAATGAATAATTTAAAGCATTATTAACGCTTCTGTTTGTTGAACTTTGTTATGTTTTTATGCTGCTTTCAATCCTTTGATTGTTTCATTTGTAAGGAAAATTATTTGTAGTTCAGCACATTACACATAAAACTATCAAAAAATAAAAAAGGAGTAAAGATAAATTATAAATTAATTTTTTTATTTTCAACTGTTTTTCAGGAGCCTGAAAAATCAGACAAGAAATCAATTAAAATCGCTGCTGGTGTTGGGGCAGCTGTTGGATTATCAGCAGTTGCTTTATCGGGTGCTGCTCGTAGATTACGAAGGAAATAAAATGAAATCAAACACATCACTGTTATTGAAAACATGATTGAAATTTATTACTCTCGATTCATCATCAGCAACATAAATTTTTATAAATTAACTAAAATTGAAAACCGTTTTTTTATATAAATGCAAAAATAAGGAAAATATTTTCTTAATCAGAGAGTAAAAAAATAAATACTTTGAACAAAACCCGAAAAAAATATAAAATATGTTTTAAAAACTCGATTAGATTATTACGACTCTTTAAGTAAAAGCATTTTCTGTTTATAACTTTGAATTAGATACGTAAGAAGCTTATGACTGTCCACCAGAAACTTCAATTGAAGCTCCAGTGACAAAAGAACTTTTGTCGGATGATAAAAATGCAATTGTATCTGATATTTCTTCTGGTTCACCGAACCGTTTCAACGCAATTTGCTTTAAAATTAATTCTTTTACTTTATCTGGCACATGGTCAGTCATTGGAGTATGAACAAAACCAGGTATAACAGTGTTGACTCTTATACCAAACTTTGCAAATTCTTTCGCAGCTACACGTGTCAACGTTTCTACAGCTGCTTTGGAAGGAGCGTAATTACATTGGCCCATGTTACCCATCTTCGCTGTTATACTGGAAATGTTGACAATCGCTCCACCTACTTTATGTTCAATCATTTTTTGTACAACATGCTTCATTACTAGATAAGTTCCCTATAAATGAAAAAAAAGTTATCAATAACTATTTATGAATGCTCACTTTTCAAGAGAATAAATCAAAAATTACCTTTAAATTAACGTTGAGTACTAAATCGAAGTCTGAATCGTCCATTTTCAAAATAAAAGCATCGCGTGTGATTCCAGCACAATTAACGGTGATGCTTGGTGGACGCTTATATTTATTGATTGCTTCTTCGATGACGCTTTGAACATTATCAGCATTTGTTACATCCAATTCAAGCGGCAAATGCGTGCCTTAGCAATAAATTTCAACCAAAGAGAAATAATCAGTGTCAATCAGTAAGCTTTATTCTAAATATAAATGCCGAATGCTAAGAAAAGTACACGCGCAAAAATAATGAACGTGATGGGATGGACGAGTAAATCAGTATCTATATTTAATTTTTTTGTCGAAGCTTTATGGAAATTTTTTAAACAAAAGATAGAACTGAAATTTATTGAAGAAAAAATGAAGCTATACATTTTCTTACTCTCCATTATCTTTCAAATTTTTATCACAACAAATAAGAAGAATACCGTCAACAAGTACATATTAGTTACCTCCTAATTTCTTAGCTGTTTCTTCAGCTTGTTTAATCTTCCTGTCAGTAACAATGACTGTAGCACCTTCTTGGGCGAATCGTACTGCAGTGGCTCTTCCAATGCCACCCCCAGCTCCTAAATAGCATATTTGTTAATAACTTTATATTGAATCTTAATGAAATATTAATGAAAGCGTCAAAATATTTACATTTAAGAATTTATTATCGATGACATAACAAAAATAAACGATACAAATCAACTTGTTTTCTTATTGTACCTGTTATTAAAGCCAATTTTCCAAGTAACAATGTCGAAGACATCTTAAATCAGAGATATTATAATGAGACAATATAACGATAACTATTTAGTCTTAAGCAGACAGAAGTTCTTAGTAAACACAGCTCTTTATGTTGCCTTTAAAAACTTTAGTGGGGGTATAAAACTCACTTTCTTATTACACTTTAACGACTTATCCACCTCCCACAAAGGGGTACAAAGTTTCATACTCAAGCAATTTTTACCTCAGATCTAAATACCTAGTTCTGACTTTAATTTTCAATAGCATTTGAACAACCAAGAAAGTTGGATGTAAGATAAATATTAAAAGAAAAGTGTGAACAAGCTTTAAAAACTGAATATCGTCGTCAAATGTAAGGAATTAATGTGAATTTCTACAGTAAATAAATTCACCGGTGTTGTTTTGTTCATAATTTGTCAAGCGGTCAGAATTGAGCTCACCTTACTTTGACAAAAATTTTTGTTTTCAAAACTACCTAAATAAAAGTTTGATAAATCGTGATTCTTCTAAAGTTTTCTGTAAATCAAGAGCTTAAAATATGGCGGATCCTCTAAGTCTTCTCCGACAGTATAATATAAACAAAAAAGAAATCATCGAGCGTGATGGACAAATCATCTTTGGAGAATTTTCGTGGCCAAAAAATGTGAAAACAAATTATTTGAAATATGGGTATGATAAACAACAATTGTTTGGTATTAATGTATACTGTAATGATGGTTTAATTTGTATAGATCTGGAAAGAAAGGTCTGCCTAAGGAATATTACACACTGGAGTGCCTTTTGTATATTTTGAAAAATGTTGGATTACAGCACTCTGTTTATGTCCGACAGGCAGCTGTAAGTATTAAACATTTTTACAGCTTTAAGAGTATTAAAAAATATTCCACTCTATTTAAAGGCTGAAGATATTCCAGCAGTCAATCGTCCCGATCGAAAAGACCTCCTTTGTTACTTGAATGGCGATACAATGACTTGTAGCAGCATTGATAAAAGTGCTCCTTTGGAAATTCCCACTCAAGTAAAACGTCCTGCTGAAAGTGAAGGATATGATAATCTTACAAAGAAAACACGTTTCGAAGACTTACAAGTGCAAAAAGTTAAGGAACAGCTTGCAGCACGTCTTGATGTCAATAAGAAAGAAGCTTCTGTTAATATTGACAACATTAAGTCGTTATCAGAAACGATGTCTGTGGAAAAGATTGCAGCTATCAAAGCAAAACGATTGGCTAACAAAAGAGTGACTATCAAGCGGAATGATCATGACGAAGCTGGTGTTGGTGATTTACGAGGCATGTTAGATTTTGATGTTGATTCCACCAAAGACATTATAAGTCGAGAACGACAATGGCGCACTAGAACAACGATTCTACAGAGTACTGGAAAAACATTTTACAAAAATATATCAGCTTTGCTACAGTCAATAAAAATTCGAGAAGAAGGTCGAAGTCGACCACCACAATTTCAACAAAAACTTCCAGAACCAACAAAAGTTTCTCGTGTTAATCAACCACAACAAGCCCAGTACAATCGTTACGATCAAGAACGCTTTAATCAACAGAAAGAAGTTACAGAAGAATTCAAAATCGACACTATGGGAACACATCACGGAATGCTTCTCAAATCAGGTCTTATGAATGAACAGAAAAAGTCTGCAATGTCTTCACTACCACCGGGACGTCCCAAAGAATTAATTCCAGTAGCTCAAGCTCGTCTTCTTCCTCAGGCTTCATTAAATAAGCGACAGTCTCGAACGCCAATTATTATTATCCCTTCATCACCAAATAGTCTCATAACGATGTACAATGCAAAAGATATTCTTCAAGATTTAAAATTTGTCACACAAGATGAGAAAAAAGCCGCTGGTGCTCAGCGTGAAAATGAAGTTTTATTACAACGAAGAAAAGACGGTAACACAACAGTTCCCTATCGTATCGTAGACCAACCTGGAAAACTTACACCACATGACTGGAGTCGAGTCGTTGCAGTGTTTGTCTTAGGACCACAATGGCAATTCAAAGGATGGCCTTGGGACGGAAATCCTGTTGAAATATTCTCTAAAAGTAAATATATTTTAATTTTTTCTAAGCTTTATTTTAACTTTTTAATTTCGTATTCCAGTTGCTGCATTCCATTTGCGATTTGACGAAATGAAATTGGATGCCAATGTTGCCAGATGGGCAGTAACAGTGTTAAATATTTCACGGACTAAGCGGCACTTGGATAGAGCTTGCTTAATGACATTTTGGGAGTCCCTTGATAAGTAATTATTTTATCTTATTTTATCCTTTTAAATGTTTATTAATTTTTTTTTCACTTATTACAGATACATGATAAAATTCAAACCTGAACTAAGATTTTAACTGTAAAACACGACCCAATTGATTTATTACATTTACGCTGCTTATTTTTCTTTTACTTTTAGTGAATCATAGTGAGTTTATTAAACAGTTTGAAGACAAATTTGTTAAATAAATAAATAGAAAGAAAAGATTTATTCAAACAATTTTATCCCTTTTTTCATGTTGTGTGTTTAAAACTTGTTACAGGAACTTTTGAAAAGAACTTTTCACAACGTTATTTATGGGGATTTAATTAAATAAAGAAATGGAAATGTTGCGTAACGAAAAAGTTTAATATGTAAAGCTTTCATACATAAAGAAAATAAATAAATGTTAATTGCGAGTTTTATCTTTTAATGGTTATTCCTGACGTCAAATTCCTTGTAACTGTGTTTTAAATTTCAAATCTCATTCACATTTAAGCAAATTTAACGAATCATTGAATCCTCTTTTAACTCAAATTTCTTGTACGATTTTGTTTACGATTGTTTTTTTCATCCTCATATTATAAATCAAACAAAAACCAATTCTCTTAAATAATAGTTAAAGTGTCTATCTGAAAATTTATCAATTTGTGTACCTGTTTGAATGTGACGTCATGAGTTTAAATCATCAAAGTAAGTTGAAAATATTGAAGAATAAGTGTTTTTATAGATAGTTTATTAATACAGAAAGCACATGACAAAAAAAAACAAAAGTGAACAAAGCTTTCGAAGCTTATTGTAAATGTCTTCATGTTATTCTATCGTTTCTGAGAAATAATATTAGAATATTAAAATAAAATTCAAAAATAACATTTTCTCAGTATGTAATTAGGTAAATATTCAGTGTCTCGCTAAAGATTCTTGTGAAATTTTAAATAAAAATTATTATTTAAATAAAGAGAGTAAAATGATTCTAAAGCACTGAATATTGTTACAAATATGATAGTTACACGGCACCAGTTAAAGTATCCACACAATATAGGTATTTAGATATTTATATCAACTTGATATTGAAACCAAAACAAAACTACTCAATTATTTTATATTTATAGTAGTTTAACTTTAAAGCAGCAAAAAAGATATCTAAAAAAATATAAACTTGAAGTTGTATAACAAGTCAAATAAATTTAAAATCAAGTAGAATATGAGACCATAGCAAATCAAGGAGATCTTGGATTTAAAATAAGTTTTACTTTTTAAATAATTAAGACATCTAAAGTAGTAGGTATAAAACAGATGTAAATTAGAGCTCAAAGTTTGACTCGTTCTTCCAGTCATTGATTGAGACATTCTTAGTATGTATATCTAAATAAAATACGAATGTAATTAGAAATTATAAAATTTACGATTGATATTTTTTTATCCGATAAACTATTTTAGTGATACAATTTAAAATAAAACCTACAAAAATTGCCTTTCTATAATGATGGAATAATATTAAAAATTTGATACCGTGCATATATATTAATCTAAAACTAAAAATACTATTTTCACTTTTAATATCGTTGAAAATAAAAGTTATTTTGGTATAATCATCACACAGGCAGTCTTAATTTACTGTAGCAGGTCTCATAATTATAATACCACGTTTAATATTTAATAGCAGTTAAATTTTTTTCATACGACATAAAGCTACCGAATTGAAGCGAAATCAATAAATGCTGGCATACCTATTTGATCCGCGAACTAATATTTATTTATGAAGATTAATTTTTAGTAGCTGCTTGTAATGGCAATGAACCTGAAATAAACCTGTTCTAATCTTACTCTTGCATGGGGAATACTGAATGAGGAACGAAATGTCTGCATGTGTGTAGAATTTTTTGTTAGTAAACTATTTCGTCAAGTACTAAGGAAAGCGAAGGAAAGACGTAAGAGAAAAATCATTGAAACACTCTCCCTTTCTTTCCAAAGAGAGCGAACTATTTGAGAGTGAAAGAATCATTACCATAACGTTCTTTTTTCTCACAATTTTTGTCAGTTGAGCTCGTGCAACATAGCAGAATAGATCAAAATTTGTTGCAATTTTTTTTAAAAGTGTAATTAATTAAAAAAAATAAGTTTCTTAAACAAATAATAAATAAAGGAAAAAAATTAACTATTTCCTCCAAAAAAAAAGTATTGAGATACAAAACTTATTAAAAGAACCAAAAAGATTAAGAAAACCTTGAGAAACTCTTACATACAAAATTAATTTTTGAGTGAAAATTGGTAACTATATGTTATATATTTAAATATACATATATGTATATATGTTTCAACATCTCCAGTGAAATGCTTGTCGGCAATTTTTCGGTTAGAATCAAAGGAAAAGTAAAATAAAAATATAAAGGAAAACAACCTTTTTCTTTGTGTATCCGGAAAAATAATTTTATTACATTTTTTTTCGCCGTCAGTGTTCCAACAGATTTTTTTAGTAAATAAGCTGTTGCTTGAAAGAGAAGAAAAATTATCCAGAAGAGATACAATTCTTCTGAAAAAATGTCGACATCATATGTAGTTTGCATTTTAGCTAACTCAGTTGTATGAATGAAAGGAAAATTAACAAAACTTAAGCATAATTGAGCGATTGGATAAAAATGAATGCAAAAATTTAAATATCTAAAACAATTTAAATCTGTTAAAAATAATCCTATAACTAACTATATTAGTTCGGGATGGATATAGGGTAAAACCAGGTTCTAGTAAGTTTTATGTTAGCATACCTAGCACAGCATAAATAATATACGCTGCTGCTTCCTTTACCAAGCAGATTATACAAAGGGATTGCTCTTTGAAAGTAAGGATGTGTGAGTGTTTTTTGTTTGTGAAATAATGGATAATGGAGGAAATGGATGCCAATTGAAAATAAAATGAATTTTTTGTGCGAGGAGTTTACTTAGAGAGATTTTTCTCACATCTTATTAATTATTCACGTTATGAAAATAAATTTTCTAAGAATTATTGAGTATCAAGAACAGAAAAGTTTCTTCTATGATTGTATTCTTTCGGATATTTCATTTCATTTAAAAGGATTGCTTATAAAACTTTTCCAAATTCTTCATTATAGCATAGGTTAAATATAGAAGAGTGCTAAATCTATCCTTCTTTTTAATAAGCATATGTATTTAATTCATGTTCCCACAATTTTATCCAAAGCAAAAATTAATTTTGCAGTCATTCAGAACAAAGTCGCAATTTGTATTAGTAAAATTGGGTATATTTCAACAAACAAATAGGTAGTTTTGTTGGCATGTACCGCGAGTGTAAGAATATCACACATAGATATCATAACGAACACACACGCAAGCAGTCTGGAATAGCATGCAGATGGAAGAATAAAACATTTTACTCGTCTCGCCATTAGGAATATATTTCTGTGAAAATGAATTTAGTTTTGATTTCTTCTCATTTGTTTTTATTATTTACTGGAAGATTGAATTTTTTTTGTATATTATGTAAGAAGAGGAATAAAATATCCTTATTTATGGTAGATTAATTTTTAACATTGTTTATGCAGTCAGTACAACGCGAGTTTTAATTATTTATAAGACCAAAGCATTAATTTTGCCTGAAAAAAGTCTCTCTTCAATTATATTCAAAAATGCTGTACCGGAAACGATACTCAGAAACGGCGTTTGGAGTCTAAATTGAATTTCCAAGAAACTTCCTTTTAATATTTGGTCATTCTATATATCAAACTCAGCGTAGAATGCATTTAATTTACTTTTTATTTAATAAGAACAGTCTACATTATATACGTATATGCTTTTATTTATATAATGCAATATACAACGCATATAAATTATATAGTCGATACTAAAAATGAGACAAATCATTCTCCAAAGAAAATCTGTAGCATAACGAGATCAAAACAAAAATTTAGTCTTAAGAATATTTTTATCAGTTTTATAAAGGTTAAAGCGGATTAAATTGAACTTGAATCAAAATTTTCATAATTTTCATCAATAAGAATTGTCTCGTCTCTATGCTTTCTGTCTTCGTCATCGGCGTTTGTTAAAATTTGGGTTCATCAGTCGTATATTCTGGTACTACATGCAAACAAAAAAAATTGATGGTTGAATCACTACGATATTAATGTATCCAACACCAACAATCCCCACACAAGCATAAGCATATGAAATAAAGAAATACTTCAATTCTTCAGTTATCCAACACATAGCTATATAAACATCCTCGTTGTATAGTGTTCGTAATATAAGCAAGTGTTAGAGCATAGGCTTTTAAAATGAAGAGTAACAACCGGGATGGTAAAGAGAAGTAAACAGACGCTAAGTTTCGTTTTCAATTATGAACAATATAAAACTCGAAGAGAAGAAAAAAAGTAAAACAAAAATATTTAATATTAAAATTTGTTTTCCTTTCCACTCTGCTTATGAACATGTTTTTGTGACTCATTTGCTTTTTATAAAAATATTTACTAATAATTCGTCTCAAAGAAAACTTTGTGAAAAACATTGATAAGTTTAAATATATTTTCACGTATTTTTATATTTATTCGATAGCTTCCCTTATACATTTGTTGTTGCTTATTTTCTGTCAATTTTACCGAGGGTGGATGTTAAAAGCAACGAGGGTCGTTAAAAGTTAGAGTCGTGAAGGGTGAGCTTCTAACTCGTTTGAAAAAGAGAATCAAACTTTGAATAAAGAAAACAAGTAAAAAAAATTATGAATCATTCTCGGAATCACTGGATATATATTTATGTATATATATTGTTATATATACATATTTATGTATCAGGAGTTTGAAACTCTAACCGTGATTTCAGCCGTTTGTTTCTTTTTTGTTCTTCGTTATTCATTTTTCTTCAAAATTTTCCAACACATGAATATTCGAATTATCTGGATTTTCCCCATAAATATAAGTCGATAAAATTTCCCTCTTTCATGAATTATCGTGTTTCGAATCGCGACAAAATGGTAAAAAAAGAAGAAAAAAACTGCAGACAGCTTCAGTAGGTTTTCATGGGTTTATTTTTTATGAGAGCCTTGAGAACTGATAGAAAAACAAGCAAACTTAACATTTAAATGTGCAAGTAATGTGGATAAAAATGCACAATACACCTTAAAGTAGAAATGAATGCTTTGTATATGTAGTGTGAGTGTGCGTGAGACGAGGGATTGAAAAAGCGGTTTAAAAGAAGGAAAGAAAATGAAATGAGAAGAAAATAAAGTTGAGGGTGAGAATAGAACAAAGAGGATGATGGTAAAAAGCAACAGAGTTATCAGACGTTATAACAATATTTTCCCCAGAACTCTGGGCAAAGTATCCTTGAAAATGTGTTCGTGAAACCATTAGAAAAATCTGATGAGTTGTTGTTGTCAGAATTTCGCAATAATGTCATGCGCACTAACATCTCATGCAACAATTTTCCCAACAAACGATTTCGGAATGAATCAGAAGATAATCCAAGTCCTTTTATATGAATCTTTCTCTTTAAATTTTTACCTTATATACAAGTATATATGTGGGTGAATCTTTTATTGGAAAATATGTGTGATATAAAATATTATTTGTTGTTATTATCATATTTTTATTAGATATCTAAAGATGAACATAAATTTCTTTTCATTCCTTTTTTATGACTTTATAATTATGTAAAACATGGAAAATGTCCTACAATTAAATATGAAAATGCTAATATTATGTTCCTTTACCCTTTTGATTTTATTCCTTCTACTTGTTTAATAATATGAATAGAGCGAAGTAAATAAAACATTTTAATAATCCAAGGATTTATGCAAGGATGAAGATGTTTTATTAGTTATGTAATATGTACATTGATACCTTTTATATCATATAACATTACGAAGATTTTGTTTGGGACTTTTTATCATTTTTTCTCAGAACGCAAACACCAAATTTCCAGATAATTTTATTTTAGAAGCAATTTATTACGGTTATTGTTTTATATTACTTAACTTTTTCTATTCTTTATCAATTTTCGGAGAAAAAAATTAAGACGTAAAATTTCCTTCGGCTTCCGTTTCATGCAATATAAAATAACAACAATAACATGAAACTGAGTTAGCATTTAAAAGTTTGATACAAAAAAGAAGACATTGAAAAATTCTTAAATTTACTAATTTTGTTTTCATAATTTTCTTCCTATTATTGTTTTTAGATAATCGTTGTTACTAGACTATTGGATTTATCATTGAATTAAATTATTGATACACAAGAAGAACTACTACCTACTTAAAATAATACTACCTAGAATCAATTCGACGCCAAAAATAAAACAAAAAATATTAACAATCAATTAAATTACCATCAAACTTTCCAAAAATAAATGGTTCGTCGTTCGCTGGTGTGGCCAAATATTTGTTTTGATTGATGATTTCCAAGCAATGGCATCATCATCCCCTACGCCATCACTAGATTCATTGCCAGGTGCTACATCAAACTCAAATTCTATTGAATCGTTTGGAGAGCCGACAACATATTTTAGTGAATCACCGCTTACGACTCGTTCCGTCACTGGCTCATCGCCCCCTGATTCTGGTATATGTGATGAGTTTGGCTTAACGAGAGACGCAATAAGCAACATTGAAACTCAAACAAAACCAGTTACGTCTTTCTCAGCATCCATTGATCAGACAGCTACAACAACTGATATTAATTTCAAGCCACGTTGTACCGGCTGTCGAAATAAAAAATCTGATGCAGTTGCGAAGTGCATCGATTGTGTTAATTATTTGTGCTCTAATTGTGTAATAGCTCATCAGTATATGCATTGTTTCAATGGTCATAGTGTCTTCCGTTTTAATCACTTGACCGATCCAACATCATCATCATCAATATTATCATCATCGACAACAACAACCAATACTTTATTAAATTCATCATATTCCCCACCATCTTTTACTTCTTCCACCGATCAAAAGATGAATTCCGCTTTTGAACGATTAATGTGTACGACAAACAAGGATCAAGAATCAAGTCAAATTATCAAATCAATGTTAAATTCTATAATCTCACCACCATCAATAAATCAAGAAAGTTCTTCAAATTCGTCACTGAATGCATCACCATCACTCTCAATGGCATTGTCAAATGCTGAAACATTATTAGCGAGCGCTTCTTTAAACAGTAAACCTAACAGATACTATTGTGCTAAACACACAACAGAACTGTTGAAATTTTATTGTCGCTCATGCTCAACAGCGATTTGTAAGGATTGCATGATGGTCGATCATCCCAATGGATTACATGATTGTGAACATAATCCCGATCAGACACCAAAAATAATTGAATCTTTATTGCAATTGTTGAATGAACTTCGCACGAAAGCTCAAGAAATGAAACAGATGGTTAAAAGCACTGAGCATAATACCACACTTATTCAAGTACAGTATCATAAAGCCCAAACGGAGATTAATGAAACTTATCAATTTTACCGCTCCATGTTAGACGAGCGTAAACAAGAGCTTCTCAAAGAATTGGATAGTTTCTACAATGCCAAAACGATGTCTCAATCAGTATTATTGACAAAGTCTCAAGATCAAATTGAAAAAGTTTTTACATCGTGCGATTGTGTTGAGAAATTTGCGAGAACAGTTGGACCTAATGAGCTTGGCATGCTTCGACGTATCATGGAAACGAAACTACAGACATTTGTATCAAGCATCAATGATTTGCAGTCAATTTATGAATTAGATTTCGTGTCCAATTATCAAGCTATACAAGTTGGGGTAAGAAACACTTTCGGTTATATTCGTTCCAATAATGAATCAGTTATGAGCAAACAACCACCAATCGCTCGTCCCACAAGCACTTCTTACACAAATGGAAGCAGCCCGCCAAGTTCAAATGGAAGCTTAAATGGAATGATTGCTCAAAATTTGACGCAAAACATTTTGAGTGGCTGTCAGAATGGATTAGGATCAATTGAACGTCCATTCTCAAACGGCGGAAGTTCAAGTAACTCAGCTGCAACAACTTCTTCATCGCCAAATCAACTTCATCCTACATTTGATACAGGTTCAATTTTAAGCAAGAGATTTACCAGCATCAATAGTCTCGGACCATTCATTGGAAATGAGTTAACAATGAATCAACAACAACATTCGATACAAACATCTAATAATAATCCCTACGAGAAATGGAGCAATGGAATGCCTGATAATGTTTTCTCTAACATAAATGAACAATATTCAACGATTAATCCTTTGAACAGCAATGGAATGAACGGAAATGGAAACGGCATGAACAACGTTAACAACGCAATGATGACAATCAACAATTTTTCTTCAGGAAACTCGACCGATTCAATGTTGGATATAACAAATAAATTGATGTCAACTTCAATTTTTCCTCCAAAATCACAAATAAAGCGTCAAAAGATGATTTATCATTGCAAGTTTGGGGAATTTGGTGTCATGGAAGGTCAGTTCACTGAACCAAGTGGCGTAGCTGTTAACGCACAGAATGATATCATTGTTGCTGACACAAACAATCATCGTATTCAAATCTTTGATAAGGAAGGTCGATTTAAGTTTCAATTCGGTGAATGTGGCAAACGAGATGGACAATTATTGTATCCTAATCGTGTTGCTGTTGTTCGAACGTCCGGTGATATTATTGTGACTGAACGTTCGCCAACACATCAAATTCAAATTTACAATCAATATGGTCAATTTGTACGTAAATTTGGTGCAAATATTTTACAACATCCACGAGGTGTAACAGTCGACAACAAAGGAAGAATAATTGTTGTTGAATGTAAAGTTATGCGTGTTATTATCTTCGATCAAAATGGAAATGTCTTGCAGAAATTTGGATGTAGTAAACATTTGGAATTTCCAAATGGTGTGGTGGTCAATGATAAGCAAGAAATCTTCATCAGCGATAATCGTGCACATTGTGTTAAAGTATTCAACTATGAGGGAACATTCTTGAGACAAATTGGAGGAGAAGGAATCACAAATTATCCAATCGGTGTTGGCATTAATGCTAATGGAGAAATTTTGATTGCTGACAATCATAATAATTTTAATTTAACAATTTTCACGCAAGATGGACAATTGGTTTCAGCATTAGAAAGTAAAGTTAAACATGCTCAATGTTTCGATGTTGCGTTGATGGATGATGGGAGTGTCGTTCTTGCAAGTAAAGACTATCGTTTGTATATCTATCGATATGTTCAAGTCCCTCCGATTGGATTGTAATTAACAAATCATTATGATTAACGTTGGGTGAGTGTTTTCTCTTTCTTCTGTTCTAACTTTTCTTTCGAAAGTTTTTCGCACCATTATTGGATTTCGTTGACAACGCCATCAACGTTGTTGCGAAGAACTTTAATTTATCGCATGAAATCATTTTATTTATTTCGTTATTTCTTTCTTCATTGACTACCGTAGTTTCAACATCAAAGGATACGATATCACTAAGATATACAATTTAATTGGAAACCATAAGCAAGAGACAACCAAACATTCATTCATTCATTGACTTGCCAGTTATTAATCAACACATATGAGAATCTTGTAAGAACAGAAGGAAACTTGATTTTAACGAATATTGATCAACTACTTATGTATTATCTCAATGACAACACCTTCGGGGAAGTTTTAGGAACTGGACGAATCTAAGTTATTTAAGTTTTCTCCATTCCGCCAAAAAGAAAAAAGAAAAAGAAAAATAATGAAGGTAATTTTCAATTAAGAATTCGTGTGAGAATCTCTCTTTCTCTATCCCTGTCTCTCTTTCCCCTTCTCTATTTGTTCCTCAATAACATGATGAACAAAAGATTTTTTACTTAATGTTGAGAATTAGTAAGTATAAATGTGTAGATCTCTATACGCAAATATTAAAATATTGCAAGCAAGTTTACCAACTCGGATTTTTTTTTCTTTTTTTCTTCTAACAAACTGTTATATTTATTAGGGATTATAATTTCCCTAACACTATGACTGTTTTAAAGAATTACTACCTACTCCATAATTCGCAGATGAGAGGATTAGATTTTAAGTAAATTCCAAGGAATTAAATTAATAATAGATGGTTTTAATGGCAAAATATAATCCTTTTGTTTAAAATTTCCACGCATTAAAATATCTACATAGTGGCACAATGAAAGCAACGATCAAATCGATTTTAAAACAAAAGAAAATTTTGTGTCCTAAATTATTTTAATAATGATGAACAGAAAAAGAAGAAGAAAAAGTTATCGATAATTGAAAACATGAACTATTTTGACTGAACGGTTTTTAACAACCATTTATCATGTTTAAATTTTTTTTCCAAACTCAAAGAAATTAAAATAACAATGATAACATTAATTTAAACAAAAAAAAAGTATTAAGTTTAAGGAATCAATTAAATGATGAAACAGAACAAACAAAAAAAATATAAAAACGTGAGTGGCATGGCATTTATTTAATTCTGTTTTAAGTATTTTTTACATTTGCAAACGAAATGAGATGCACGAAAAAAATTCAATTTTTTTAGATGAATTCAAGTATTTAATGTTGAATATTTTCCGACATAATAAATATGTACGTTGATCTCACTTGCTATAAGTGTCTCGGAAGAATCTTTTTGCTGACTGAAAAATAAGTTAAAATCTTTTAGATTTTTTTTAAATATTCCTAAGTAAGTTGATAAATTTTCAAATATCTACTACTAATTAGTAGAAGAAATTGTTTAATGTGGTACTTGCAGTCCAAGAAGTTCGAAAATGGTCGTGACCAATGATAACTTTTCTCTTTTACTTATTTCTTAAAAAAATATGATAAATAAGTCTTTCATGAATAAATTAAATGAGCTGTTATTTTCTCAATAAAAAAAATCGGGTTGGACATGTTTACAATTCAGTCTTATATATGTAATTTCCGTTTTGTACGAACTTAGACTTAATTCAAAAGAAGAAAAAAAAAAAGAAAAAAATTTAGTATCTAATAAATAAATTCATGATTAAAATTAATTTTCATGATGAAGTGAAACTTATCTAGTGAACAATTGAGAAATAAGATTGGTTTGCTTAAAGAATTTTGATAAGCTTTTATACAATTTGATATGAGATTCAATTGAAAACTTTTTTACGCCAAAAAATTTTAAAGGAACCATCACCATGACACTTATTATCTAAAATATTTTTGATTAATGCAATTTTGACTTTTAAAACTTCTAATCCATTCTTATTTTTCCATTAATTAATTAAATCATCCATCTTGAATTTCACTACATAACTGGTGTTTGTGATTGATTGTGTAGAACTTTTGTAGAAAGTTGATTGTTGTTTTATTTTCTTTTTTATTGTGAATCAAGTTTTATCCAGTGTGTTAATGTGAATTTCAGACCAGTTATTTGTGTTAGAATTATTTAAGATGTTTCAAATATCTGACTTTTTGTACAATGACACTAAAAACAATTATGACTATATTAAAATTAGTTTAAGACGAAAGTGTTTCCCCTGAAAAGCTTGAAAGCTTCCTAAGTCTTTGTTAACTTTACTCTTGAATTTATTAAAATTTAGCTCATTAATAGATTGAATAGATATGGTTTGTGCATGACATATTTGGAGATTTTCGTTTAAGTTAAGAAAAAAAATAAAAGCAGGTCACATTTTGTAACGTTGAAGTTTACTTAAAGAAAAATTCTTCATGTTTAATTAACCTAAGAATTACCTTGATTTTTGGGCTTGAAATCGGAATTAAATATAGCTCGAATATAATTCGACCCGATTTTAGGGAATCGGAAAATATTTCCTTAAAATAGCATTGAATTGATAAATAAATTTAGAGAAAATCTAACTCCAATTTCTAGCCTTACTTTAATGATGGAAATCTTTTTGACTCCAACGCAAATGTCTCCAGTTTTGAGTAACTCACGAAACCATAATAAGATTTTAGAGCCTACGCTTCTTCTAATTTTATACCTCTCAAATTTATTTTGATTCTTCTTTATATTCTTTCCCACTGTTTGCTTGAACTTAAAATATTCGACTTCTTATTTATAAGTAACCAACTTTTATTTTCAAAAGCACAAAGTTCAAAAAGCTACAGAAAGAAAAACATTTGAGTTGCAGATTCTTGATGATTAGAATGATTAGAACAAAATTCAAACTTAAGAAAAAATAACTAAATTAAACTAAGTTAAAGAAAATGAAAATGAAAATTCAAAAATGGAAATCTACATATATATTGAAGGATATTTTGTAACAGTACAATTTAATACATTTCCTTGTAACAGCCCGAACATTGTTTTGTGTTTCCCTTAAGAATTAAGTTTGTTGTGTTGTTTGTTTTTTTTTATTATTATTATTGATTTATTATGATTACTTCATAAACTTTTAAAACCTCAGTTGTAATGTAAATTGAAACGCGATATTTTTTATTTTGAGAAATAAAACGAATTTTTTTTAAAACCTTTTTTGTTTCCTTTTACTTTCCTTGTATTTATATTTTAATTTGATATTATCTAATTTAATTTCCAGTACTTACTAAATCTATTTGAACTGACCAAATGAAGAAAGAAAATTTTGCTAAATATTTTAAACAATGAAGGGAACGAGACTAATATGATTAGTTCATCATCACTAATAAATATTGCACTTAAAAAAATACCAAACAAATTAAAAATCGAATGTTAATGATGAAAAAAATTTCCGTAAATCTGTTTCTTCATTTCATAAGAAAAAAGAAATAACATATCGCGGTGAGAGCTCAAACTATCGCAAATAAAGCGATTTAATATTCGTTTTCCGTCATAATTTCAATTAAAAACTGAACAATAATGCTGAATTGTAAGCATTAGAATTATAAATATATTTATAACTTTTTATATGAACTAAACATTTGGAACTTTGAATTGAGTTTGTTTTTAAAAAAGAAATAACTTGACGAAGCACTTTAAAGGATTTTTCCAATCTGTCTTTAAATATACCTTTGTGTGATTTTATTTTTAAAAACAACTTTGAGAGGGTTCTGTTGGAGGCCTAAATTCGCCCAAATCTATGCCTATTTGGCATATTAGCAATTGCCATGTTTTTTTCAAACTTCAATAGCAAACGAAGTTTATAAATTTTAAAATTGAAATTTTTAACACAATTATTAAAAAAAAATCATAGATCAATACACTATATATTTGATACTACCTTGAGTCGATAGTTTTTTACTCTAATAAACTTAAATAAATCATTCACTCAATGATTAAGATTTACGGCTTATTATTCGCTCGCTATTTGTATAGAAATTACTGAGATGGGGTACATACGGTTTTTATATAAAATTCATCTAAGCTTAGAAGTTGCAAGAAGTTGTTTGACATGTGAAGCCAAAGTACGTGAAACTATGAGATACTCGTACATTTAGTAAGACAGTTGATGTTAAGTATTATCAGAACTATACTAAATATGGATCATCAAAGTATCAATTATAAATATTACTTAAATAACAAAGTAAAGATAAACAATAACTATGATACTGAATTCATTTTAGCTCTGTTCAAATATAATCAACATAAAAGCATCTTGTTTAATTACTGTTGCTTATCTTGTATTATGTAATTAATTAAACAATAAGACAATTAAGTACTCATGTTTTGTATTTTTAAGAGTAAATCGAACTTTTCCGGCCGTATTCTTAAAGCACCATGACTTGAAAGGTCCACTTTTTCCGAAGATTTCTTTCTATTTTAGAGTAAAATAATATTTTTATTATAGCTAAAGCTTTTTTCATGGAAAGGCTTAGTTTTTACATTTTAAAAATTACGAATATGTCTTTATGTAATATCATAAGAGTAAAAAGTGAGAAAAAATTTGAACGAATGGATAAAGTCAATTTCATTGACTTTTTTTTAAATCTCTTTCTACATTTTTATGATTCAATTTTAGAAATATAAAATTCATAACTCATAATGTAATTTTTCATGTTAAAGCAGTTGCAAATAGTTCATTTTCACATCAAACTTTTTTCCGATAACAATGTTAATTTTAATTGAGTATTTAAAGATATGAGAAAGAAGCATATCGGTGTCATGTATTAGAGTTTCAAAAGATGAAAGAAAAAAGTTATTTCTTATTTGTTAACCAAAGATTTTGAAAGATAAAAAGTTGAACCATCATTTTGATAATAAATAAAATAAGTATTAAATAGCAAATACAGTTGATATCTATTTAATATAAAATATGAAGCCAATTTAGTTCGATTTACTCGAATTGTTTAGAATTTCTTATAAACTTTGATGTTTTTAGTAGGATCTTCAATTTGAGTCTGTTATGGGAATTTATGATGAATTCAAGGAAACATGTAAAACAACAAAAATATCTACGAATTATTTCTTATGAAGTTTCCCAAATGAAAACAGGCTCAAAGTTTGTAATATTAAAACGAAAAAGAAAGACTGTAATAATTTCTATGTAATCAATCACTGTTTTTACATGCTACTTGATCAGTATAATGGGCAATATGTTGCACCATTTTTGATAAATATTTAATTTTTTAAAACGTTCAAATGTTTGAAACATATTTTTTTAATTCCTCGAATGTTTATCGACTGGTAGGATTTATTCTAATAAATAAGAAACAGCTCTCAGTCTTGTTTCTACTAATTTTATGTCGACATGTTTAGTGGACTATTTTCATTGTGCTTCTGGAGCTGATCACTGATCTCATATCAAAGCTTTTTGAAAAGAAGTTTTTTGACATCAAATTAAATAACATCAAGTTGATATTTAAGTAGCAACAACACTAAAAGACGTTTTTTATTTAGTAAGTATTTTTAAAGATTGTATCTATGGTCCAAATCTACAAATAACTGCAAACTTGTAAGGAAGAACTATTTTAAAGATAAAAATAAACATGAAATAGAACGTTTGCGTCGTTGTATAAGTAAATGTAAACTTTGAAAACAGATGGAAGATGAAAAAAAGGAAAACTTATTACTAAATGATAAGAAACATTAATGGAGAAAGCTTTTAAAGATATGTGAATATTTTTTCCATAAATGACCCATTGGTTTGTAATACTAAATATTATTAAAGGGAAGTATAGATCATCATTCCCAACAATGGCTTCTAAGAAGAGAAGAAGCCTTTTATGTGCTTTTATAGAGGGATCATAATATTGAATGAATTTCTTTTTGCAATTATTAACATGAATAAGATTTCCAATGGTTTCTTTTATAAATGATAAGATATCCACTTAATTTCAAAAAAAATCTCTCCGTAATGAAGTTTCACGCAATCCAATTCTAATCGGTTGAATAATTCAGATTGTCAGGTATGAAATTGAACTCTTATTGAAATATTGACTAATTTTTGAAAATAAATAATATTTATTTCAAAAAAATAAAAATGAAGGAACAAGAAAAAAAAACAATTAGGAAATATAAGAAAGGGATCAATTATATAAAAACTGAAACACATTTTAAAAAGAAACTACTTACTCTTAAGACAATTAAAAATTTGTAGCATGTAACAAGAAACCAAAATTAAAATGCTTTCATTTTAAAGACCGCATATTTTCGCATGAATAAAAGTTACTTAAGAACAAAAAAAATGTTGAATTAAAGTTTTCTCGTTTGTTTTCATGTGAGATGTTGAAAATTTGTGAATATATATAAAAAAAAGTGTTTATCCAAACAAACAAAAAAAATATTGAGTATGTAGAATTAAAAAATGTAATAACACTCTAATTTGCTACTATCAAATTTCATAAAAAAACTTAATTTTCTAAAATGAAAAGAGAATAACAGATATCCGAGAAAACCACAAATAATATCAATAGACAGAAAGCATAATTTTATGTTTCTCCTGGAAAATAATAATGATGTTGCATATCGTAATAATTTTCCAATTTGATTGATTGATTTGTAAAAAAACTGAATAAGTCTTCATTCCAATTTTAAATTAAATAAGGTCATTTCATTGATAATTTCTCAGATAGTAGTATGCATTTAAGTCATTTATACTGTTTAAGTCGTCTTCTTTCTGCACTTACCATATATTTTCATAATACATATTTAAGAATTTCAATAATATTAAAAACCAAAGTAAACTTTCAGACTTGTAATTTTGAACAGAATTAAGACATTCGCACAACTGTTTAACGATTTATGTTTGTAAAATTGTGTTTCAATAAAAAATTTTCAACAATATTTTTCTCTTCCATTTAAATGCATTTCTGATTTCAGATAAATGATTGAGGGTCATTGAATAGGAATACATAAAATGTGAAGAGATTTAAATTACTCAGGCAAAACTTTCTTCATAAAAAATATGACAATTGAAGATCTTCAGACATCACAAACTCAATTATATTTTGCCAATGGATACAAGGATAGGTTTAACCAGATTCATTTGTCAAGTGAAAATAATTCAACCATCCTCACTTAAAATGATTTTGCCGTGAATAACTTGAAGGAAAATTCAAACAACTAAATTTGTATATAAATAGATTATTTATTGCTTTAGTTTTTTTTAACCACTTTACATAACACATAAAGTCTAACCAATAATAAATACCTAAATCCTATCCCATGATTATTTTGCAGTGTCAACTCTTCAAATTGTTTCAGGATTTGATAAACCTGAAAGATTCCCTACAGCAGTATCTTTAGCTTGAATTTCGATAACAGTTTGTTGTCCACTTTGATACAACACTTGAAGTTGTTTCAGCACATCGGAAGATACGATTGGTTTATTTTTTGGCATTGATGATTCTGTAGCTGCTGCCGGTTCTTCCTTGTTAACTTTTTTAAGCCAAGTTTGAAGCCACCCAGTTTGGTTTTGTTTTTCTCCTTTCTTGAACTGATTGAAAAATCTTATCAATCTTATCACTTTTTCCAAAAATAATAAATAAATACCTCTTCCTTCTTGTTAGCTTTTTTGGCTTCGAACTCCTCCGTAGGATTTGTGTATCGTTTTCTTAGAGATCCGGATCCTATTGCTTGAGTTTCTTTTTGCGGTCCTATCTCAAATTGTACCTGAAAATCAGCATGGTCACCTAATCGATAACCAAAACCAACTCTTGAATCGGTCCCTAAAAACGTGATTGAAATTTTTATCAAAAAATTTAATATTCAATGTTTTGTAAGTATTTTTTTTACCTTTTTTAATTGGCGGAATATTTGAATAAACAAGAGATAACAAGGATGGAATTTCTTGCGGAACGATAAAAGCAGAAACATCTGAAAATAATTTAACATTAATAAAGGTACAAAGTATTATTAATATCTCTAATACTGTCTGCATAAAAGAAACAAAGAAACATAAATGGTCAACTTTTAATCAGTCTACACAACATGTGCACTCTTCCATAATATGCAAAATTTTAGTTAAAACTTGCATACTAATTTGAACTTTAATTATCCTTGAACTACTTTGAACTATTAATGATCTCGCCATAAATTCAATAATGGTTTGAAAAACAAAATTATGTTTATGTAAAAATCTTCACTTTTTCTACTGTTTCATCTTCTCACTTTCGATGATGAGTCAAAGCAATATTGGAAAAGTTGTTGGAAAGTGGGTCACAAATGAAACTGTTTTCACTTTCGTTGAGTTTCAACATCATAATTTTCAAAGGTTGCATTATGAATAAATAAAAACGCTGAAGAAAAATGTTAAGATTCGTTGCATGCATTTAGTTCTTCGTTTGGTTTATCACAATTATTGGTAATTTCATATTTATAATTTTACACAAACGTTTAAACTTAATATACTTACAAGAAAAAGGATTTAGAATAATTGTCAAGACAAATATTTTTAACGATAATAGAAACATTTGGCCCTCTGTCATTCTTAACAAAACTCTATGAATTAACGCGTCGACCTTCTGAAATCTGTATAAGATACGATATTTTCTTAAAACTGTAAGTATTCTGGTCGGGGTTTGAGAGTAAACTACTATGTTTAACTCCCCACTCATTGTCCAATGACCCTGTTTGGCTGTGTTAAATCAAGTGTTAATGATCGACTCTCTCTTTTTTTTTGCCAACATGCTCGTAGCTGGCATACAACTTCATCATTGTTCATGTTGGTATTCATTGAATATTCAGATAAGTTGTGATTTTTGAAGTGACTTTACTATTGTTCAACTTAAAACTTCATCTCAAGTTCAAGTTTAGGAGATTCGTTCGACAAAAAAGTTTTAAATTTGGTATCTACTTCTTTTTTTTATTGATGAGATAGTTTAATATTTCTAGTTTATCTTCCGCTTTTATGATGTCAATTAATTCTAAAAACACTTTTAATTACTGGCTAGATTATTTACGTTCATTTGAGAAGAAATAATTTATTGGTTAAAGCTCTTCTATGTTACAATTTATTTAGAGCTTAATGAAAAGTATAAAGTTACAACAATCACAAGTACAAAAACAGCTGCAAAAATGTAAAGAAAAATATTATCACGAGCAGATCGATTAATTATGTTATTGACGATCCGTGAGCTTCTTGATAGGACTGATTCAGTCTCTCTTAAACGATTTTGACTCGTCCTTATAGTCTCACGTTGACCCAATAGATTTGCCATAACGTGAACTCCAATCTGTTCAGTTTCAATCAGAGTTCGATATCCATCTTGCATTATATTACCAGTTCGTTCAAGTCTTTCTGTATTATTTAATAATTTCTCTCGTTGACTGTAATCGATACCAACTTCGGAATCATCAAGGAATGTCTTTGGCGTATTGTTGAAACTATCTTTAGCTCTTTTAAATTCTTCTTCAAAACGCTCCAAATCAGTTCTGTAAGATCTAATCCTGGCGTGTTGACTTAATCTTATGTCAGTATTTGTATGTTGGTAAGATTCAATAGTCATTTGCTCCAGTAACTCTTGACATGCTTCTATTTTTTCTTTTATTTCTTTTATAGAGTTACTTCTCTCGTCTTAAATGAATAAAATATTGTAGAATGTTTTTAGCTAAAATAATGTCAATAGTTTTACCGGGATCTGATTGTAAAAACTTTCTTAAAAGACATAAGAGTTCGGCTGTCATTTCACCATACTCTTGTTCGTAATCTTGAATCATATTGAAGAATATTTTAAGGCGTTTTCTTTAATTTAAGCACGAAACACAATTTGTTTATTTTGTTGATTTTCTTTTACATCTGTTCACTTGGAAAAATTTTTTGTGACTGTCTGACAATGTGTTTACCACCCACTACACTTACATAATTTTCAGATCATTTTGATATCATATGATGGAATAACGAAAATATGACCAGAAGTATTTTAATTAAATTCTATCCAATCATTGTTTATTTTGATATCGATATTAATTAATTTATTTTTAATGTATCGACTTCCCTAGATTTTTCAAGGATTTCTCCAGGATTTGTCCTTGTACTCTGGCTAAATTTAGTGCCATTGAATGCAATAAAATCATGTTTCTTTCTTCGTCCTTCTATCTCAATGTCACTTAAAAGAAATCAATTTAATCCTCATCATCGATATAACGATATAATGAAATTTTTCTTAAAAGTTTCATAAACTAAATTATAGAAATAAAATGCATGCCTAAACTGTTAATTTTGTCGTGTTTATTTCTAAATTGGTTTCTAAACCAATATTCATAATAATTTGTAACATGTAAATGCTTCGAACTCAATTTTATTCATGAAGTTTACTCCAAATCGTCATTGGTACTTTCAGCAAGCTTCATTCCAGGGGTTGGTTGATTCTCTGACTGAAAATCTCTCATTCTATGAATCAGAAGCGTGAACACTTCAGCAGGAAGTGTTTGCTGAAGGACTTGGAGAAGCTGTGTAGGTTGTCCGCAAACTATCACAGCGTTTGCCAAATGCTCAACTCCATTTGAAATATCACCTTGTGATATAAGAGCTTCTCCCATTTGAATTTCATGGAGGAAGTATCTTTGAACTGCTTCATGGTCATTAAAATCTGAATGTGAAAAGTTATTATAAAATGAAAATGAAAAATAAACATCAGATAAATTTTCTATTAATTTTTAACATCCTTACCTGGCAGTTTTGTTTTTCCTACTTTATTTTTACGATTCTCACGCTCTTGTCGTTTCTGATAAAGTTTCTTCTTAAAATCCTTCGCGTTTCGTCGTTTGTGGTCAAAATAAATGCAATAACCGAGAACTAATGCTCCAGCTATCCCTACAGCAACAGTCGACTTTGATATTGAGCTTAGGCTATCCATGTTTTTATTAATTTCAGAAATTCACTTAAGGATTTGAATTACAATGAGGATATTCTGTTAAGAACATAAAATTTAAAAGATTCGAGAGTTATTTCAAAGCTATGACTTTTTTTTTGCTGATGAGCTTTCACATTACTTGAATTTGACAAAATTAAGTTACTCACAATTTACTTATCCGATGGGGATTTTAAAAGATTTCTGATCACCTTGGAGATTTAAAAAGATTTGTTTTGAAAATTAAACCGTTAAATTTTATTATTTTATTTTTTTTAGATGCAGAAGGAATATTAAATTTGATGATAATAAAACTCATTTTATATTATAGAGTTAAGCATGAAACTGTTGAATTTTCAATCAGTTTCAAGCACATTAATATGGT